AAAATAGAATAAGCACCATCTTAATGTATTATTTCTCAAAGTGTTTTTTTTATTTTTAGTTTTTTTGTCGGAATGAATAATTTTCATAATTCTTCAGCTAGGAAAAATAGTCACATACCATAAACTTTAAGGGAAAAAAGTAATAAAGTGAAATGAAATTTATTAACGGATAACTCAAAAAGTATACGTTTTATTGTTGATGACCGCCATGTTTTTTTGGAAAGATTACTAAATTCCCCCCAAAAAAATAAATAATAATTTATTGAATTTGTACAATTATTTGCAAAGACACTGATTTTTACTTTCACTTACCTATATACTTTTAATAAGTTTTAAAATTAATCTTTTCCTTGGTCGATTACAACTATCAAGAAATTATGAATTCATTCCTCCATTTTATGACACGATTCTTTTCCTTATTAAAAAGATTTTTTATATACTCTGATTATAGAACTTGCATTTAAAATTGTTGTATATTCTATCAGCATTTTTCAAATATTTAAAAAACAAAAGTTTTATTAACAATTCAAAAATATGTATAATTGTTTGAACTATATCAATCGGGGTTTGAAACTACAAGTCGATTAATCAATTTCAATGTAATTGGATTTTTTTTTATTATTATTTTGTTTTTATCGTACATAGGTGTGAATGTGTTTTATTTATTTTATTACAATTCGGATTTAATCTGTTATTTTATTTATCTTGTATATCACTTCATCTTTTTTCCTACTTTGGTTTTTTATATTTATTTTCCTTTCTTATGTACACATTGTGTGAATGAATACTACAGCTCTAGTACCAATGCCCTTCAGTGCGCCGTACTGTATTATGTACTGTATGCTAAAAAAACAATTAATTTGTTTTATTTCTGAACTCGAAATTTTTTTCCATGTAAATTTTCAATTAATATTTACAAAATTTTATATTTGATAAATGTTTAATTAAAAATTCTATTAAATCAATTCAATTATCAAAAAAACAAAATAAAAAAAATAGAACTTGTGGGGTATATTCTTAACATGAGAACCAGGCGATTTATCCGGGATAATTAATTCTGTAATCTAAGCCCAATTAGTCCTTATTTTTAATTTAACCTACTATTTTTAAGTTAAAATTTTTAAGTCCTTTTTTAAATTAAATTAAAAATATTTAATTTCACACATCTCGAAAATAAATTTTGTGTACTAAGGATTCAAAGTTTATTGTTTTCATAAGAAGTCCGCGCTTACATTATACTTTTTCATTCCGTTTAAATTTCAGCTAATTTAATCATGTAACATAGCTATCATTTTTTCGCCCTCATGAGTAATGAAGTAATGATCCTGTAATTGCACTCGAAATTAATTGCTTTAGACACTTGCAAGCGGCCTACTTGCGGTAATTAACAGTGGCTATAGAAGTTACCGACAAAGATCTTGTAGCAGATGCAAATATCAACTCTAATTAAACCAATCAAGATTTGACGAGGCAATGAAGACATGGCAGATTAAAGTTGGCTTGTGATGAATTCGGCTATTTCCTTATTTAAAAGGGGCATTATTATTTTTGGAAAATTTAAGATGTTAAGTTGTACTAAATTATATTGTTGAAAACAAAAACCTTTATATATTTTTTAAATTAATTAATACTTCTAACGGATCTGCCAGGACATTATTATTTTTATCCTTTATTCCAGCCGTTACGGGTTTTAAGCACATTCACAATCTTGAGGAATGGTAGTCATAAAAAAACTTAAAGTTGAAGAAAAACCACTTTATTATTAAGACATAATCCGAACCATACCCCTCATAAAAACCTTCATATTTGGGTAGAAACATTGGCTTAAAATAAAATAGTTCCCCACTATTTTAATTTTTTTTAAGACCGCCACCCCGGACCATCTCTTTCCTCAATATTTTATTACGGTCAACCATTGAGTATTCAATCAATATACGCTATCTATGTTTATCTTTGTACTTGTTATATTATTTTTGTTTTGTTTTAAAGAAATTCTTTACATAACGCGTTTTTCTTACTATTTTTTTTTTTTTAAACCATTTATTCGTTTCATTCTTTAAGCCTTGGAAGTGAGCAAGATTGTTTTCGCTCTAATTACTTAGAGCTTTTAATTTGACTACTCTTCTTTTTTATCTCAATCAAGGATTGTTCTTTTTATTTCCCTTTTTCCAAAGACACAAATTAGCGAATCCTTTAATATTGAATAGTTCAATCCATCCCAGAAATTCGATGTCAATTATAATTAGTAATTAAGTTAAATTTAAAATAACAATATGATTAACTGAACCTAATTAATAACTAGATAAGGAAAAGTTAGTTTAGGGTTTCTATGGAGTCAGTAAAGTACATAGAAATATTGTTGTTTTTATTTTACCGAGGAATCATTGTTCGTTAGAAATCTTTTGTATGATCTGTCTTTATGAAGACATTATATTTAATTTATCGGATGATTTATTTGTATTTTTAATATTGTTGTAAATTTCAATAAATAAATTTTAAAAGTGTATATTATCGCTAACGTAACGGGATAGCTTGGTGTGTAAGGCACTGACTTCATAACCTCAAGGTCTTGGGTTCGAAACCGCCTGATGTATTTATTTATTCTGTCTCATCAGGGGTGGATCGACCCAGTGATCGACAGATCCTTCTGGGGCACACCTAGCCTCTATAAAGGGGGTACTCTAATTAAATTATTGATTAAGGGGGGAATCTGGTGGTTAAGCGTGATCCCGATCCGATCATCTCCATGCACAACCGTTGTTCTTGAAATAGTACTTCGTTACAAAGTACTGAACCCCTGCTGGCCGACCGCTTGCCATCCAATTCCAAAATTCACAGAGCTATATAGCAAGCTTTCCTTGTCTTAACTTAAATATAGACCATAGATAGAGCACATTTCGCTTCAATAACCTCCTTCCTCCCCAAATATGCTGACCAATAGGACTGTTGCATCATTTCAAAACTGTCCATACACATGTTCGCTTATTTTTTCTTTTGTTTTAATGTCATGGCTGAATCAGATGGTTATTAATTGTTTTAATATTATACCATAACGACTGATTATGTATATGGATGGTTAATGAACACATACCATCTTGCTATAAACGATCTCATAATAAGTCAACTGGACACTCTAACCAGCTAATAAAAGAAATCGCCACAACTTTTATACCGGAAAACCTGAAAATGGTCCAAATGAAGGATCCATTTACATAATATTTAATGTTTTTATAATAAAAGTCTTAGAAGGGGCACCACTGGGTAGTGTTTTTCTTAATGTCTATAAGGTATCTTCCATGTTTTTATTTTATTTATCTTTTCATGATTATACCAACCCTGATGATTATCGACAGTTGTAATTGACAAGTAAAATTAATAAATGGAGGTGCAAACAAACAGGAATCATGTGAAGTTGGAAGTATAGTAGCTGAAGAGGAAGACGAAATCCACTCCTCAAGCAGAAGGAACCCCTCCCATCTATCCCCGCGCCGCGGGCGGATTACTCGAATTTATCTGAGCGGACTACTTTATTCACTGAAAGGTGTGTGGTATTACCGCTAAGGAGAATCTAGTGCTCCCCCTCATCGGCGGGGACATTTGTTCCTCCGCCCCTATTACATGGGGTTAGCTCCTGATCCTAGCGCTTTTTTTACTATTACCCTCAGCTTTAGGGGATCTGGCTATTGGATGAAGTCCCCGATCTCCTCTATCCTCTTTATCTTCTGTGCTCGTGTATTTTATTAACGCTGTTGAATTGGCCTTCTGCAGCTCAAGACGTAATACTAAATTGAAATATCTCGTTTTCTTCCTTAGGAGAATTAATATTTCGAATTGTTATTTCATCCATGGATCGACACCGTAATCAGGACCCTCTGGGGATACACTGAACTTCTATCATTGGGTACTCTTAATTAAATAATTTATTAAGAGGGAAAATCTAGTGATTGAGTGTGATCTCGACCCATTCATTTCCCTGCGTAACCCTTGAAAAAAGTAATACCTGACAAAGTACTTAACCCAAGACCCTCCATAGGTTGTGTTACAGATTTTTTAAATATTTTTTTCAAATGAAAATTTTTTTTCAAAATTTCCTTTAAAATATAGCATCCCTTTCTAATTGATGACATCTGTATGTCACTCTTCAGATTTTCCTTTATCAGTTAAACGGTCGAATTTAAATTACATTATTATATAAAATTCCTATTTTTTGTTACTATCGGTTGATAAAAAGTTATTGAAACAACTTTTTCAATTAATGTTGTTAGTATATTATGTTATATCATTGATTATTCTTCCAAAGAGGATATCAATAAATTCCAAGCCTCAGCCGTTATCGTCTTTATCACAGGCGGATCTACGGAGGGGGGAGGAGGGACTTTCGATCTGAAGCTTCTCTCCCCCCAAATGGTAAAATATATTTATGAATAAAATTATAATGATACTTCTGAAAAAAAATTATCTCTTAAAGTATTATTGTTCGTCTTACTACATTTAATAGTACTTAAAGAATCACTTTAAAGAAACACCATTTCACATGGGTACTTAGTTTCTTTCTTTCTTCCGAAGTAACTATCGTAATATATACATAAAAAAAACATCTTTCGAGCTCAAGCCTCCCCCCTCAAAATTAAATCCTGGATATGTTAGTGGTATATATATGCCTAGCTCTATTGACTGAGATCACCCAATCAGTCTTATTATATGATAGTATATAGGTCGAAAATTGGGTAAGGTTTCTCTGTACCCTAGCCACAGTGAACAAACATATTTTTTTTATCCTATTGTCCAAAACAATTTCTCATATACAGTTACAAATTACATCATATCCTATACCAATTATTTATCCTATCTGCACTAAAATTAACTAATTCGAGGGACTGAATGTCACAGGTCCCTTGGCAAATAAGATAAGGAAGGGATGACTGGAGGGAATGGGTGGATTGAATTAGGCCCTATAATACCCTCCCAATGTAACCCTATACCTTCCCTCTAACCGGGTAATGTTCCTCCCCAACCCCCGCTGCCGCATATGTCAAGATCAGCTGCCTCCTGCTCTCCTCGTCGCACTGTCTTCAGGAATATTGAGGAAACTGTCAGTACTTTGGTCAAATCTGCCATATATATATATTACGTAGTACTAAAATCCTATTAATTTGACGTGAATAAACTACAGTTAGAATTAACATAGGGGTCAAAACTCCCAAATTAATGTAAACATCTTATTTACATTAACATTTATTTATGTTTACATCTATAAGTGGTCTTGATTATAAACACGGAGAAGAATAAGTATTGTAGAGGGGATTCACGGATGAATAAAGAATAATAACGAATAAAGAAAAATTTGCTAAGAGAATCTTTTTATAAATATATACACAAATCAACAGGTAGGATACTTATATACGAAGGGTGTAGATACATCAACATTGAGTTAAATTATCAACGATTTAGGGAGATTTTTCAGTTCTAAAGTCTTGAAAAGGAGATAAATTAAGGAAGGAGGGTAAGGCTAATTCAACAAGAACTTCATACAGGCAAGGAATTGCAAATCTTATGAGAAAATTTATAAGTCTTTTCAGTTTGATCTAAGGCCAAACAGATAAACTCCTGTACTAGGGAACTATATATTAGCCCAGTCAATGAATATTCGAAAAGAAAGTATAGAAGGAAATAACAGGGATACAATATTGGATTTTGGGATATTGTTTGGATTAGTAAGGAGGTAAACATACTAAAAGTCACTACTCCTTGGTGGTGAGCCTGATGTGGGGGGGGGAGGTAGATGGGCCTAGAAGGTCACTTTTTTCGGGTATTCTCTTATTTCATGCAAACTATACATCGCATAGACAAAGACGTTTTATACAAAATTAAAGCCGATAATATTTGCAATATGATTGAATATATACATTTTTTCGCTATCTCGCTTATCGAGATATCCATTCTCAACTATCGCTAAATTGGAGAAAAAATTCATCTCATGCTTTTTGCTGTATTTGACAAGCTAACTCCTAATTACTTCGGTATGCGATTAAGTCACGAAGAAGATTTTAGTTTATGATAATTAAATGTTCTTCAAGAATGTATATTATTTTACTAATGTATCTCCAATGGTTCAAAAGTTAGATCAATTATAAATTTCTATGGCACCTCAGAGAATTCGTATAAAAAAAAAAATTTTATGATTTACTTTTTTATGTTTCTCTAACTTCCTATACATCTAAATCTCTACGTAGATATTCATATATACATACATATAAAACAACGAATGTTAATATTAATATTATATTTAAAGTTATGAATATTAATTTTTTTTCTCTTTAACTATTTATTCGCACCTGTCATGGTATTGACAATCAGCAGATGTGTTGTGATTATGAGGATTGGCATTACAGGCATGAGTACGTATGTGTTGGTCTATAGTTGGTTGTCGTAAGTCGTTATGAAAAGTTTTGTTTTTGACTTATCAGAGAGCTTCTGTTATAAGTCGTAAAACTGGATTGAAATGACTGTAGTTTTTTTAAGTGCTTCTTTTTTGCCGAGCCGTAAATCTGAGAGCCGTATGTCCAGATGGGTTTGAATTGGTAAGTGTATGTATTTAGTTTTTGTCGAACTTTCAATTGAGATTTAGAAAAAAGTGAGTACAGTATTTTTAATCGCTTGTTTATGGTCTGTCGTTTCATTTTGACTTGTGGGTCCAGGTCATCCGTCTGTCGAATATTAGTCCCAGGTAACGTACTGAGTTTATGTGAGTAATTTGGTTATCTACTATATAAACTGGTGGGCACGTTTCTCGTCGAAGTGTAAATGTTATATGTTGTGACTTGTCATGATTTAATCTTATTTTCCAAAGCGAGCACCAATTTTGTAAAGTCAGTAAATGATTTTGTAAATTTTGTTAAGAATATTAATTTAAAATTAGTTTTGTATCATATATTTTTTTTTTATATTTCACTTTCATTTCTCCTTTCGATAATTTTACTTTGATTTTTTTCGGCAAACCTTTTCTAAAAAATCAAGAATTAAAAGTATTATTCATTCGATAGAGGGTTAGAGTTACTCGTCTACAAACGTTTGAAATTAATCGGCGAGATTGATAGCATCAAGGAGATAAGAGGAATTATATCAGCGGCCGATGATCAGTGGGCAGTTGTTACGCAATGCCCTCTATATCGCCACGCCATGAATCAACAGAAATAAATTGGATCCTAATTAATATGTTTAAGGCCTATCATTAGCGAATTTGAGTTAGGATGGCACTGCCAACTGTGATAGTGATTTATCATCTGTATTGGACGTCAATTCCAACGGCCGAGCAAGTTCAAATTAATTTATGTAGCATTTATTTGAACAGTATACTTTTCTCTACTATGTCAAGGTTTTATTGTTTCGTTATTCAACATTTTCTATATAAAAAAAAAATACACAATTTGGTCTATAAACGGTTTAAAATTGGTGGGTATTTCATCGATAAAGCTTCGTTTAAACGGTGACAATTTCTGTCGCGGTAGTAATATCTAGACTGAGAGGCAAAATATTACGGTTATAAACTCTGAAATTTTGAAAAACTGACTAAATTTCAAAAACCAAGCGTGTAAACTAAATTAATAATAATAAATGTAAATAAATAAAAACGAGAGAGTTTTATAATATTTATTGTAAATAATAAACATTACCAAGTTTGCATTTCAGATCCAAATAATCATAACTCAACAATATATGAGATTCCATTACATATCCCACGCCGTCATATTATATTATCCAATAAGAGAAACTGGTGGATCCAGAAGAGATTTTCTGTCTGAAGCACCGAAAACGCAAAGTTTTTTTTTTTCATTGGTACAAATTTGTTTTTGTTGGTAAACTGAAGTAAATATTTGAACAATCTTAACATTTATTCTTTTTATTATAACACATATACAACTACTAAATGTAAGTGTCTTGTAATTACTTACATGCGAGGGCGCGTGTTTTTTTAACAAGATTTTAAAGATCACTTAAGTATCATTTTACATAGTTTCTTTTCGTTAGTTCCAGAATGATTATCTTGATAAAAAAAAAAATCGCTTATTACACACCTCTTTCCACCATCAAAACCCAGTCCCTTCAGATCGGCTTTAATGCAATCTTTCCACCTTCGCTTTGGTCTACCCCTCGGACGTTTGCCATTCGGTACAACACATATTAACCTTTTAGGAATTCTCTCGTTACAAAACCCGATAATTTTACAAGCCTATTTAAGTAGCCTCAATTATATTATCCGGATACAGTTCACGCAATTCGGTGTTCTGTAACCGTCTGTACTCTCCGGTTAACTCATCCTTCTTCGGTCCTAATATTCTACGCAATATTTTAAATACTACTTCGAAAACATTAAGACGTTGCTCATCCCTCAATGTAATCAGCCTCGTTTCGCATCCATAAAGAACTGTAGGTAAGATAATGGTTTTATTGATTCTAATTTTTAAGTTCCGGGACAAGAGGCACGAGCTAAAGAAAAGCGGTAATGCATCTATACATTCCTTAAACCCTACATTAAATTTATTGCCTTATAATTTATTCTATGGGAGGAAGAATATGAACTGTATGATATCGGCCTGATAAAATGAAGTCCTTTAGTGTACAATATTAAGTTTTTAAGCCTTATTTTAGTTAAACATCCTTCATATTGTAGAATATTTGGATACTTCTTGGTATAAAATTTTAGTTAACCCACCTTTTTAACACAAACTAAGATATCACCATTAATTACCATGGTTTTTAAATATGGTGAATTCCTTGCTAACATGTTATACATACCTCCATAGGGTCCTACTTTAAGTTGAGTTATCCCATTGTTGAGAATAGAGGGAGCCAGAGTATCGGATCATGACTCCATCAAAGCCCCCTTACACAATACCTGGCAAACTACTGCTCTTAATTGATACCTCAGGGCAACGCTACCGAGGCTTATGAATGATTCAGCTTTTGTTAAGGGATCATCTAGTCGATCTAATATCTTCTGCCATTCCATTTATCCTTAGTAAGTTGTTTAAACGAGATGAAAGCTATGAGAAAGTGCGACGATTGTTGATAGGGCGTTTGCGACCGGCAATAAACAAAACATAAGTTAAGATGGAGATGGAGGGTAATAATTACAAGAAAAATACAAAATTTTTATTTATTCTAATATGTACAGCTTTATTGCAGCCGTTAAAACGATAAAAAAGATGCTTTATATTAAATTGGGGTGGAAACGATAGAATTTTGTTTTTATTTTTTCCTATCGATTATATTAGCTCTAATATAAGTTATGAAAGTAAAAATATGAAAGATAATCACTCTGGAACATAAGCGCATACTTTCCATTCTGTTTGGGGCTGATGGACCTTCAAAATGCGTTTAAGGGATTTATATTATGTATACAAATTATGAATTATAATCAACATAATTATTGTAAAACGAACAACATAATATTAAAATATGTGTACATTATAAAATAAGCGGTATAATTATTTTTTAATATAAACTAAACTTCCAATAATAGAAAATATGGAGTGACAAAAGAATTGCATACCTACTTCTAGGCATTAGCTTAGCCATGTAGTCGACTTTTCCTAGTTTCTTAATCGATTTTGTTTTACATATTTTATTCATTTATATAGATTAATTGTTATTGATTTTAATTTTTTACTCTGGAAGATAAGAAAAACATGTGAAATGAAGTTTATATGATCTTTGAAAGCATGTTGAAAAAAAAAATGGTTTTAGGGATAATTTTTTTTACACGAACTTTTTTTTTTTTTTTTTTTTTTTTTTTATTATTTCAATGGAATTTACAACTGTATTACATAGAGAATACAATAAGTAAATGAGAAATTTGTAACATGGCATGTACAACATGAAGAGAAACTACCCATTGGTAGAACTCAAATTAAAGTTCTATATTAGAAGATCCCGAGGCCATCTTCTTTTCAGACGCCTCGGAGGGTTATCAGGGATCGAGGAGGAAGCAAGGTTTGAAACGAGAGGATTCGGATGATTCTGCAGTTTGTTATGGAAGGAAAGGTATCTGGATTGGGCCAGATCGGAAACATATGGAACATTAAGGTCTTTATGGATGATTTTATTTGTGACAAAGTAAGGAGCGTTGAGGATATTACGAAGGATTTTGGATTGTAAGGATTGGATACGAGAGGAATTCGATGGTTTAGTGGAGCCCCAAAGCTCAATTCCGTAAGTCCAAATAGGTCTTATTACTGTCATATATACGAGTCGTTTATAATTGATTGAAAGCTTAGATCGTTTGTCTAGTAAGTGCTGCAGTAGTCGAAAACGTCGGGCGGTTTCTAGTCGTTTCAGTCTGATATGGGGGTTCCAAGTGAGTCGTTTGTCAAGGTGGAGTCCTAAGTAGCGGATTTTCTCAACAGGAATAAGTGGAGTAGTATTGAAGGATACTGTAGGACAAGAGGTCATAGGTTTACGACGGAGGGTAAAAGTGATTTGATGGGATTTGTTGGAATTTATTTTTATTCTCCAATTTTTACACCATTCTTCAAGGCTTGTGATATGTGATTGAAGAGTTTGGGATGAAATTAAAGGATCGTTATTAACTGATAGGATACACGTGTCATCGGCATAGGTGGTGATGACAGTGTTGGATTACACGAACTTAAATTAAGAAGCTGTGTATGCATTATAATTTAAAAAGAGAACATATTATTATTGCAAATAATAATAAAATACAAAAGTCCTCTCCTCCCCGTAATTCCACCAAGGGTCTCTTAAATTATCTAATAAGTAGAGGAGCACGTGCAATCTGTGTGTTAATTGTCTGTATTTAGCTGTTGAAATAGGATGTATTATCTTTAATCTGCAATAACTAATTATTGATTGATGTCTCCTGATATACCGAAGACAATGAGTTCCATCCCTGGCACCGGAGGCTCTTTAACTCCAACATTAATCCCCCGCCTTCACCCCTGATCTGAAAAAAACCCAGTATAGCCTAAAAGGATTATAAATTTTCTAAAAAATTGTCTCTGACTTCGATATTTTCGTTATTAAATACCTTTCCTTTTTTTTTAAATATAGCGATATATATTGATAACTAGGCTGATTTTTTCCTTTTTTTTCTTAACAATAATCTTTGAACCAGACCGCTCGTCGAGCAGTTATGCATAAGCTACGGCATCAGCTGCCCCAGATCGAAGCAGGCCTTAATAAATGATGAGGATATAAAATATACTTTAAAGGGGGAGAGCAGGCCGGATCGGGTTGCCTAATTTCATGCTGCTAGCCACACCATACCCCCGGGACAGCCTCCTCCTCGCCAATGGATTACAGTAATAGACCGGCAAATGTGCAATGTTTTATAATGGCTATTATAGTATAATATATGGTTGAAGAGGTCCTACCATATGAGTCTTCTAGCCGCACTTCTTAGTCATGAGCGGATCGAAAAGCTTTGGGATGTCTTACCAACCAAATCCTTGGACGATTTTCCTACAAAGAATACTTCCTTAACATGCTATTGAAAAAATTGCATTTATTATTAAAATATCTAGTAAATTAACTTATGCATTTTTTTTTTCATTGATTGGTCTGCAATGTGTCCTGTTTTAGAGAATTCCAAGATCATCTTTCCTCTTCCTCGGAATAAAATCACAAGGGTAGATTGGGAAGCGAGGTTATCACCCGGTGCACAGTGTCTGAGCAATCTAGCGAGGATACTTTCGTACCTCATTAAAAGATAAATTTTAAAAGATATTTCACATCGTAAACTAAAAAAATAACATTTTATTTTTTAAAAAATTATACAAGAAATTAAAATACAAAAAGAGGAAATATTGAATATTTAATAGCTGTCCGATGCATTATAAAGGAAGGAGATGGTCCGGGGTGGCGGTCATAAAAAGGCTAAATAGTGGCAAAACTATTTTATTAAAAGCAAACGTTTCGACCCGACTTTGCAGGTCTTCTTCAGTTCTAGAACGGGCAAGATACAAAAAGATTGAGAATTGTGGAAGTTACATCATATTTAGACGGAAAATTATAAACAATGTGAATAAGCTTATTAAAATTATAAACAGTAAGTATATTAAAATATAAACAGAGTAAGCTAAGTAACAAGATCCTAAACTCAACTAAATAGATGGTAAAAATTGTTGTAGTGTAATATATAATATATGTAAATGTGAATATACTTCTACAGATCTACAGGAGAGATTGAAAGAAAAGGAAAAAGGATATAATATGAAATAATAGACATAGAGGAATGTGGAGAAAGAAAAGAAAAAATAAAATCAAAAAATTAAATAAATAAAATTAGAGACTTACAGGTGTGTTCAGCTAAAAACAGAAAATCTATAAAAAATGCATTCTGTACCTGCAGGAGAAATATAGAGAAGAATTAGATGAAAGAGAGTACTCGGTTCGGGAGTAGAGGAGCGATTCCATCTTCAACTGCTGTTTTCGGAGAAGCTGGATGTGGAAAGGAACGATCTACAGAGTATCGCGGAATCGATTGTTTTGGAGTCGTTAGGAATCCTGCAATCCTGCACCATTATATGTATTAATTCTGGGCAGTTCGTTATGAGCTATGGGCTCTACGGACAGTAGTGAGAAGGAAGAAAATGAGTATAACAATAAGAAAATAAATGATAACATTCGGTACTTTGGATGACAGTCCTGCAAAACTCTATCTTTTTTGTACTCTCTCATTACCTATGATCTATTAGGACTGACCAGTATGCTGGTTATGGTATCAGTATGCTGGGTGTAACAACTCAACATAGTTGAGTAGTTGTGCAGTTTTATTGTAATTTTCTCTCAAGTTACAAAAATTAAACATATATTATAGTAATTATATGTATTTAATTTTTGTAACTTGATTTATTGGCTAAGTTAATAATTGTATTTGCATTTTTTTATTAGTAAAAATTATTTGTACTGTGCTAAAAAAGATCATTTTAATTTAGCCAATTTTTTTAAATACAATAATGATTAATTCACAACATATACCACTCCGGAAACTAAAAAAATATTTTGGGGAAAAATCTTAACTTTATAATTTATTTCAATCAAACCAGTACCCTTTATTATTAAACTAGCTCTCAATTTTCGATGTTTACCGTATATTATTATATTATATTAATACTGTTTGTAATATTTTTGACTAATTCTTCTTTTTCTAATTACACGGACGTATATACATACCTTTAATGCCGTTTTCTATAAAAATATCCAGTTTCGATATTTTGACTTCTGTTCCGCTAGGGTGACTGGGTTGTGAAATTTGTTATGTAAGCATGATTATTGAAATTACAATAAATAAAAACAAACTGTGAAAACTGGCATTGCCAAACAGCTGGGACTCCAAGAAGACATTACCTTCTCAGAATCCGCCATTGTTAATTTCATCACGGCTACCTGTTATGTGTTCTCAGGTACAGTGAGTGACCCTAGTACCGTCAACGTGAAAATAGGATCTATCTTCTTAAAGTCTTCAAATTTTGCTGCTTTTATCAAAACAGGGGTGCCCACCTCCCTCTCCCTCAAAGTCGATGCCGCTATAACCTACCCCACGCTCCCAAGATATTTTATTGCTTACATTTTCTTAAAAACAGAACAAGCGATGGTAGCATTAGAAAAATCGCTGATCATATACAATTACACTAGCTGCGGTCTGTTCCATGTTTTTCCCATGCCCCTTAATATAAAATTTTCATTCCTAAAATTTATAACTCGCTCGAAATTTGCTCTCTTCGAAATTCAAAAAACCGTCAAATTATATCCCACTCAAAAATTATGATGACACAACTTGCTCGATAGAACCTCCTTCTGGGCACTCCAGGATCAAAACCTTAATTATATAAGTAAAGATCTTCAATTGGATTAAGAGAAACCATACCATTACAAATGCTCATTTAAAAGATTATTAAATTACGTGTAAAGTTAAACTAAAAAAAAATCAATAAATTTTTACTATTCGGACCAAATTAGTAAAGATACAGCTAAAAATGTTTGTTCAATTTTTTTTACCCTAAGAAGTGTGGGAAGTCGTACGAACGGACAAACTAGTTATTGTTAATATTATATTTTTTTTTAATGAGTGATAAACTGCATTTTACAAATCTAAACACAATAGGTTATAACATTCAGAAGAATTATCTTAAACAAAAATCATGAAATTCTGAAATTAGCGACTGCCTATATAAAGTAACTTCCTATATAAAGAGGAAGTTACGTTTTATAAAGACCAACAATAACAAAAACAGATTCGTTTTAAACTTATGCATTTGTTTTTTGAATTACTGCTTATAAATAATTTCAAATTTAAAATAATTTTTGCCCACAGATGTTAAAAAATTACACTTTTTTTCTGTCCTACCCTTCCTTGCCTATTAGGCAATACGGGGTTTTCCCGGTCAGTGCAGAGGGCAGGGAATTAATACCAGAAATAAAAGGCTTCCTCCCAGACACCGGGATGAGAACTCGTAATTATTGTATTATATTATCTATATTCATTATTGAGAGCCAGAGAGAGAAAATATTGTAATTATAACCATATAAGTAGCATAATTTTTGAAATTGATTTCAAAAGTGAAAAATTCGTATATTCATTCACATATTGCTTACTTTTTGACAATTTAATGTAATAAAATAATTTTTCAAAATTTTACAGTTGCGTCGTTGTTCTACAGGATGAGCGATATATACACTTTGTGAAAGGTAGAGGAAATTTTTTTTTCAACTCCTATCCTGTTCTAACCAGGCTGGGAAGGACGAGATTCATTCCGTGGCTCATGAAATAAATATGTACCAATCCCGACCGAATCCAAACCGGCGTCGCTAAACTCCACCGACGAATCATAAGTTCGCTCCGATCTCCTTCGAGCCTCGAGGGCTCCCCGCGATCCGCTACCCCATCAACAACACGGCGACTCAACGCTGGCGGCAGCAGAGAGCTATTTTTGGTTTATCCGCTAGAGTGCTCCCCTAATCCGGCAGATGTGGCTCCATTAGGAGGCCGGGGCTGGTGCCGCGATTCTTCCGCGGCCAGATCCTCTTAGCCGAGAGGGAAAAACTTTCTCCAGTCCTCCCCTCCCCTCACCAACCTCCTGGTAATTAAAACAATCCTCACAATTTCCTCGCCTGTTAAAATTTCAAAACTAGTTACTCGTTCTGGTGGGGCCCGGAGATCGCCCCGTTCTGGGGCTTTCAGGAAGTTAATTTGCTTAGCCGGCTCCTGGATTAGCCTTCCTAACTCCGGCAAAGTATATTTCCACCATCCGACCAGAAAATCCTTCTTTTCATCAGGATTATTATATTCCAAATTATTTTTGCATTTTAATCTTTCAGCTCTTCAAGGCCTCGTTATTGCCTTGGTTTCATCATTACTCTTGGTATTTTATTTTTTGTAAAATTTCTTATGATCCCTCAGATTTAAAATTAAATAAAACGAATCGAATTTAAATTCAAAAGTTTTTTTTTCAATTGTGTGATTGAATTTGTAATATTTAATTAGCTACGCACAATCCATTAAATAGAAAATATTGCACTTTGCGGAAAGCCTCAATAATTGGCAAAAACAAAATACGTGGAAGGCTAAATCCAAATTGATAGATCAGATCAACAAAGACGCTGACAGTTGCATGCTGAAAACTAGAAGCCCTATATACCCAGAAGTTGAAAAAACTCGTTCAAGTGGTTAAATATCTGAAGATCTGTAAATGAAAACAAAAATTAAATACGGGCAGACACCCAATAATTAGTCTAAAAGCAAGATGTTGCTCTAGATGTTATATACCTAGATTATTATAACATGAATTAGAAACTTACGATAGAGCGGAGCACATTAATTTAAGCCTTGTATCCACAAGATCATTGGGATTGTGGTTCTGAAGATGGGAGTAAATATCCCGAAACATAAACTTGTAAACATGCGATTATGATATACAACAAATATATTCAATTGTTGCTAATTGGAAGTAATCATTGCCAAATAACTAAGAATATCACACAACCTCACAGAAAAAAAAAATAAATAAATAGATTACTTTTGTATTTTTTTTTTTACTTTAATATTACTCCTATTCCTAAGGTTTATACTATCATTTATAAATATATATCTTACTGTTATTTAAAAGACAATCTGCTTTCCGTTACGAATCGCGAAAACTACCGGTCTGATTTATAATTGTTTTACAAACTGGTCTGTGTTGTCCCGACAAGGTTATAAGCTATTAAAATCATCACTCACATCAGTAAAAAGGATTTTTAAAATATGCTTAATAATGTTTAATTATACATTGTCTTTATTATATTGGATTTGCATATTGCTGTTCTTTAAAATATTGATCGTCGTACAAATTTAGCTAAGAGAAAACGAGAAGACATAGTGAAAAGAAGAAGAAACAGGATAACGAAATAAATAGAAAAATAGCCCGTCTTTCATTTGTGCTGCTGAACTACCAAATATTTACTAATTCATTCATTCATAGTTCACTGAAAATTTAGAAATAATAAAATCTATCTATTATTTTTCTTTAAATTTAAAAATTATTGACATATTCAATAATTATTTTTTAAGTATAAATATGACGATATAGAAAAAACAATCGATTATAACGATGGTAAAAACTACTGAATTTGGAGATGATATATGGAAGTATACATAGAGTCATAATGCTCAATGCCTTAGATTGTGGCAGATTGTATTATTATTCTTCAATAAAAATTCTATATAAACTTAAAAAAAAGAATAATAAAAAAAAAATAAAATAATTGCCGACAGAACTCGCAATGTATTCAGAATCACAATAGACTTATGCTTCTCTTAGAGTACTTTTCCGAAATATTAAAGATTTATAAAAAATAATTAAATTATTAGTTCTGATTTTCGAAGTTCTATATTGTATATATGTGTTTTGACAACAAGCAGAGTAAATAACCTTCATAAAAAAGTAATAGATTTTGTCTGTATGTTATAAAATACATACATAAAAACTATAGTTATCATACATAATAATAAAATGTGTCTGAATTTATTGAATAGCCTAGGTTTAGGAATAGAATTTTCCTCGGTGAACTGTGAACTTTTAAATTTTATAGCCTGAATATTTTAAAGCATCATAAAGATGAATCATTGTGTCAATTTAGCTCTATTAACTGATATTAAATTCAAAATTACAGCCCTAAAAGTTTAGTTAAAACGTAGCCCAAGCATAACCGAGCTCCTTGACTCATTTTCTTAAAGACGACGGCTTTAATCGCGAGCTTTGAGCCTTCCAGCTCCGACCGAATTAAATATAAAATACGACGGCCGTATCTTAAAACTTTTTGAAGAAACGCTCCCCCAGCGGTTTTAAAGAATGCAGGAAGAAGTGACTCGTAACAGAATTATCCCGCCGGGTCCAGGGACCAATGACAGGGTCCCCTTGCATTTCAAAACAGGAGGATTACATAATTATTTTTAAAAGCCACCCCGCCGCGACCCCCATTGAATTTTTATGAAAGGGGAAATGAAATTGGGATGAAGCTTAGAGAGCTTTTCGGAAATTGCTACTGCCTGATGGGAGCGGTGAACCTTAATTTTTAAATTAAATATACCCCTAGGCCATGATACCCAAGCAATTAGAACGAACAAAACCCAAAACTGACCCGTAAATAAATTAAAACTCATATCAGATTATACATAGGTCCTCCTGCATGAACCATTTTTAATATATCACCACCAATGATCTTTTCAGCTCTATGCAGTTCGGTTATCGCCATGTTCGCCCTAATTAAATTTTTATTTTAAAATATTCCCTCGAAAAACAATTAAATACATTTATTAAAGTCAGTGTAATGGTCTCCAAGTAAATAATTGTTTATGCCACGCAGTGTTGCCCTGACTGTTGTGAGACTTGCGCAAGACCAAGACTGAGTTTGCAAGACCAAGACTCGTCTCAGTCTCGCATTTGGGCAACACTAATGCCACTACAAAAAATGTTTGCAAACCAGTTCAGTTGGATTGATATCGTTGAATATATATAAATAAAGAAAATTAATTAATCAGAATTAACAATTTGATCACTTTTATTTTCAATAAAGCAATTATATTAAATTACAACATAAAAATTCATATTGTGACTTTGGACTTTTAATGCCCATTTTCTATTAAATACTTAATAACAATTAGTAATTTGCGTGCTATTAGCATTGCTTTTTAGTTTTTCACATTTGACAGTATCTAAAATTTTATTTATGGCTTTCTTGCTTTGTAGTTCATGATAAATAATTTATATTATTTTGTACAGAACGACTTCAATTAGAAACATAATGGTTGAAAATATAATTACCAAATTAAAAATATAATTAATTCAAATGCAATGGTTTCCAGAAAATATAATATATTTTTAGAACTTTAGTATTTTGTTTACTTAAATTGGCCTATTTTTTAAGAACTACTCGTTTTTATATGACGTTTGGTTTGTAAATACAATGTTTTCTCCTTCAAACTATTTGATATGTTTTATTTTATTAAAACGGTCTTCAAAATGCCCTTTTTTTTTTTAATCAAATTTAATGGTGTAAATTAGCATATTAGAATTTTTAATTAACATATTATGTACTGAAACAATATTTACCTAAAAATAGTTAAAGTTTATTAAGAGTAATAGTCTTATTCGTACATTTCTCAGTTATTGTATGTCCTGCCACGGCTAGAGTGGTTATTGTTATTTTTAAGCTAGATTTTCTTTCTAGTGTTATGATTATTATTCACAGTTATAAAGCCATAACAATATTATTGTTTCTTCCAGATACCAGTTATTCCTACCACCCCGCCATTCACGATGAGGCCTTCGTGAGGCGAAAGCAAAGAAGGAATAGAACAACATTTACGCTTCAACAGGTGACATTTTTATTTTATTTGTTTGCCAATAAATTAAAAAAAAATTAAAATGGAGTAAATAAATCAAGAGAACGTTACTAAAAAAAATCTTTATTTGTTATTAATAAATTGATTGTACATAAGTAAAATAATTAATTATATTATAGTAATATAATATTCTTGTAAACCGAATTCCAGTTGGAAGAGCTGGAGAACGCCTTCGCTCAGACACACTACCCTGACGTGTTCACTCGAGAGGACTTGGCGATGAAGATAAACCTAACAGAGGCTAGAGTGCAAGTGAGTACAATTTCGCACTGTTTCACAATTTCAGTCCCATTAATAAAAATTATGTCGAATTGGCAGGGGTGTTAAGGGGGAAATCTGATGTCATTAGGGACAGTTCGTCGTGAGATCACCGACTTGCGTGACACAATCTATTGTCGCGTAGAATGAAGCTGCCTTCAGTCCTGTGATTGAGTGGTATTTTGCGGATGGGCATTGAGCTTAAATGTCGAATTTGGATGCTATATTTGTCAAACGTTATGTTATATAAATAAAATAAAAAAATGTATTAATGGTCAAAAGGACAACTTAAGAAAGCAGTTTAGGGCCGTGAAAAGGTTCTCGCGATGTTGCCAAGCACGTGTGGGCATTTGGCATGATTTAATGGCATTCGTGTTTAGTCACAACATGTAGTGTAATTCATTTGATTGGCTATGCTTTCATCTGTCGCTTATTAAGTAACATCTTCTGTTTAGTATAATAAATGTTCATGTAACTTGCAATAATACGTAGTGATAATAAACTAGTAGGCGAAAATTCGCACAGTATATTGTTCAGTGCTCAAGTGATCAAATAATGATTAATAAAAAAATAAAATAGGTTTTTTTTTTTTGTTTTTTTTTCCTATTTTTTCCCATAGTCATTGGTCATTCGACCATCCGACATCTTGCTGCCCAGTATAAGTTTGATTTTTTTTGTTTTATCATTTGCATATGTTTTATTCCTAATATCCGGCAAAGCAGGACATTTGTTTAGGTGGTCTGCATCCATTTCCGCTTATTCACATAATTTACACCTAATAATGTGTATTAATTAATAAAAAATAAAATAGTGTAACGTATCATAAAATAAATGAATTGTTACTTTCTTGCTAAATATAATAGACAAAAAAAAAAATCCAACATGTTTACAAATTCCAATAAGCTGTTATGCTAAAGATAGCAATAAGGTCTAATAAATGTCCGGTTTCCATTTTTTTTTTTTTTTTTTTTTTTTTTGTACGGAATTGAGTAATCTTTTGTATAATCATAGACATAATCAAGGAGAAGTGTGTAATTTTTGAGTTATTCGCAAATAAAGTTTCTATTCTTCTATAACATTTTTGCCTGAATTTTGTGGGTGGTTGGACTACTATTGTTCCCTGAAGGAGAAGGAAACCTTCGAAATTGGTGACTCGATCTTGTATATTTGATGAAGAATTAAGGATGGCTTATCGACAAAAAAACACCTTTGATAAATAATATAAACTCCTTCTCTCTCGATCACAAGGAACTAAAATCGACAAAATGAGACATTTATTCCATAACAGTACTACAATATAAGGTTGTATGGATGGTAATCCTTTGTGTTGCATTATCTTTAAAATAGTACGTTCTTGGGCTTAAAAATACAGGGCATTTTTGGTGTACGCATCAAAATCCTCAAAGCCCAATTTGTCCCATATCGATCTACAGAATTGTAAATAATAAAATAAGTAAATAAATAAATTTAGTTTAGTCTCTTTTACAGAATAACGATTCGTTTAAATAACAATAATTTGGATTAATTTTAGAAAAAAAACTATGAATTCACCAAACCTAGAATAATATTTATGTTTTTTGTTCATTTTTTCTAAAATCTTTTTATTGTTCAAAATTACAATTATATCATTTTAGGGAATTAAATAATTGTGCCAAGTACCAATTAAAGCGCTTATGTAGACAGATAAGAAGAAAACGAAATAGAGCTAAAAAAAAATAGAAGATAATAAATGATTGACTTTACGACTCATATTGATTACATGTAGCTGTTTTTGTATAAACTTTATGCTTAACATTTTTAGCTGCAGATAATTTTGTTCATTTTCTTATAAATATCCTATAAATAGGTTAACCAAACATATGTGAAATTAATTAAAACTTTAAAAAATGAGAATTCACTTGTCATTGATATTAAATAATAATCATGGAAATTTTAATTGTAAGGTTTATCTATTAATTAGTTATAGTTTAAAAAATCTAATAGATACAACTTAATAAGGTTTTTTTTTTGTATTAAGTAATATTTAAAAAAAAAACTATTTGTATATTAAACTTAAGGCAGTAATAAAAACAGTACATAATTACACACATATACAGATAACGTATAAATACCTATATCTATTGGTAAAGGATTCTGAAAACTTGAAATTACAAAGAAATCTGATGTTTTTAATTTGTAACGTAACGAAACGAAAAAACAATCTTACCAATGAAACGTTCCAAGTTTACTTATCTATATCCTAAAAAATTAAATTGAAAACAAATTCAAAGATTTCAAGAACAGCAATACGCAGGAGTGCCATTTTGTGGTGGGGAGGTTTCAACAAGGTCCCATGGTGTAATGGTTAGCACTCTGGACTTTGAATCCAGCGATCCGAGTTCAAATCTCGGTGGGACCTAAATTTTTTTTTATGTGTTTCATTCATAATTATAAAATCTGTGAATTAGACATAAGGTTTTCGTCTCTTAAATATATAATTTCTCTACTCCAAATAATTTGTCGATTTAAATATTTTTATTCTGAAATTTCGTTATATATATATTTTTTTTTTTCCCGCTACAATTACTATTATAGAATGAACTGTACAATTCGGGATTCGCTTCATTATATCGTATTTTAATCATTATTATGTTTATTTTCCTTTAATTATTAGGTTTTTATTTAGTAGAAGCATTTATTTTATATAGATTTTTTTTTTTTTAATTTATTGAGAAACTTTACTTTTTAATTTTTTTAATGTGCTGCACACTACTCCTGCGAGTACTTGAACATCCTCAGTGCTCAAACCACGCCCTGAAGATGACCCACATGTTTGGATTGAAACGTTGAAAAAATAAAATATATATATTTTATTTTATTTAAATTTTATTCATTCACTTTTATCTTCTTTTTTTTCATTAATTTATGTATATTTATTTGTTTTTATCTACTCTTTCATGTAAAAGAAAAAAACGAATCGCGATTTTTTTTTGCTAAAGTTAACTTAATCTTTACTATGCTATCAGTAGGAGAAATTTCTCATAAAATTAATATTTAATAGTATGCTTCTAAATATTTTTTTATAAATCCCCTGTTTGTGAAACATAGTTACAGTGGGTTTGAATATAGAAAGAAATATCTTTCACGAACAAAAATATAAAACAATATTTCGCCAAGTAACAACTTGATTTTGTCGCATTGACGTCTATCTCTATAAAATAAAAACGGTCATACAATTTTACACTGAGCTTCCAATGCAAAGGTCCCAGGTTCGAACCCCAGCTCATGGCAGAAAATTTATTTATCTGTTTCATTGGCCGTGGGGTGACCCTGGGGCACACCCAGCCTCTATAAAGTGGGTACCCTTAGTTAAATAATTAATTAAGAGTGAAAACCTGGCGGTTGAGCGTGATCTCTGTCAAATCACCTCTTTGTACAAATGTTGGCCTAGAAACAGTGCTTTCCCTAAATAGTAATGAACCCCAGACCCTTCATGGGTTGTAGTGGTACAGGTTTTTTTTTTTTTTTTTTTTTTTTATGTAAGAGTAAATAAGGTGACTGACTATTATTATTGTAAGTATTCCTTTCTCTATGATTAAATTATGTTAAGGTGCCTAAACATAATGCCCAAATCATGAGAAACATCCATATGTAAAGGTGTACTGTGTTTCTTAGTTCCAATCCTTCAACATCAAGACAGACCAAGAAGAGCTTGTGGAAAGCGCGAAATAAGTGTTGTTAAAATTTTGTTGTTCAATATTTCATTGGATATCTGCGTTTCTGCTAGGATTTTTAATTGTTTTTATTTTACAAATAAAAATAGTTCAATCCAAAATATTTCTCTGTAGCAATACTGATGTTTTCAGAATATAATCTGGACTAGTTTTCTTCTTTCCGAGAAATTTATTCACCAACATAGCCCCTTTTCGTTATAGGGAACTGCCGGTTTCAGAAAATTTTCTAACAGATATCTTTAAAATAACTTGATTATTCAATTGCTAATCATTTGAAATAAAGAATTTTTATTAATTTTTTTTTCTCAAAACATTCGCGTTGTTTAAAATATCGTTGTATCCTGGTGAAAAGAAAATTAAGTAACAAGAGGCTTCTGTCACACGAATTCGCAATCTGATTCCCGAAAATATTTCTGACTGCGTGATCAAGTTGGGTGTTGTTAATAAATACAGCAGAGTTCTTTTTGCCCGCCGATTTCATTTGCCTCACAGAAGGCTATGTCGTCAATTTCGTGGGCTTTACATATTTTACCTCTGATCTCCTCTAACGAGAGAGGTGGCAAATAAAAAGAAAACAATAAAAACGAAAAAGAAGAGAATTTTGAGGCCGGTGTTTTGGCAGACTAACGAGAAAGAGGAAGGGGGTGGGGGGGGCGGGGAGGACTGAGTACAATACGAGCTAACGAAATAAGACCTCAGGCCGGGGCTAACAGAGTTTGCTAACTACCTAGGCTAACTATCTCCACATGCTACTCGAGTTTCGGCTAAGTCTGTTAGCATCAGCTTCAGCAATTAAGCCTTGAGCCGTTAATGCCCCACTAATTTCATCTACTAGCTCCCCGCCTCATCTCTGTTTTCGGCTCCTCACTCCCATACCTCGTACTGTTATCATCTACTCCCGTCCAATTATGGGATATAACTAACTCGCTTTGTTACCTCTGCGGTACGCCATAAATTAATAATTTTTTTATTTTTCAAATAAGAGTTAGGACAGAAAAATCGGCAGTCAGTGAAACTACGCAGTCGTATTAAAGAAGCTTCCACTGAACAAAAAATAATATTCTATCTCTCTGTCATATAAAAATTATTTAGTGACCGTGTCATATTTTATTGTACATTTACAAAGCGGGACGGACCGTGTCAAAAAACCACACTTTTTATTTCTAGAATTATTTTTTCAACCAAACATCGTTCGTAAAATTCTCAATGCTCCCTACTTCGTCACAAATGAAATCATCCATAATGACCTTAATGTACCATATAATTCCGATTTAGCTCAATCCAGATACCTATGCTTCCATAATAAACTTCAATTATTAGTATTTTTTTTTTCATTTATTGAAAAATATTACAATCTGTCTCAAGGACATTTATAATAGTGTTAACAGATCACATTCACACTCTATTTACAGTAAATAAAATAAATTATACAGAAAAATAACATATATACAATGAATAAGAATAAAATAACCTAAAAATAAATAAATAAAATGAACACATGGATACGTATATACAATATTTACAATTTGGTGAGGGAACTCCAAACCAGACTTGTCTCTCCAAGTGTGGAGGGAAAAGCATGGCTCCAGGAGATCCCAGCACTTCTCTCTCAACCGCGTCACTGGGGCTAAACCCAGTGGAGATTGAGCAAGAGTGCTTAAGCCACATACACTCATGTCGTGAGTGGAGAATCTGGCCATTGCCAGAACTCCAATATTTACAAACTATAAAAGGTCGCGGGGCCACTGCCGTTTTAACCTCCTTGGAGGATTATATGGATGGGTGGTGCTGGATAGAGATTGTGCAAAGGGATTTGGATGATGGGTAATTATTAATATTAATAGATTTTTTTATGCGTAATGAATAGTATAAAAAAATCTATTAATAATATTCATTACGCAATGTATTAATCTAGTAATTGACACACACTATTAATTACATGTTATCAATGTCAAGATAAAATAAATAAATTAAACCTTGAGACCACCTTAAAGATTAGTGTTGCCCGAAATCGGTCTTGATCTTGCACTTGGCAAGACCAAGACCAACATCTCCTATCTGTTGCAAGACCAAGACCAAGTCTGGTAAAAGAAATCTATTTTTTGAATGAAAATTGAGGCAAAATAATTACAAATACTTGACAATTTTAGTTACTATATGTAATGAATTGGTATAACTAATAAACTTTTGCATTTAACTCTTTTAAGTTTTCATTCAGACTTAGTTAGATTTCTCATATCTAAAAAAATACTGTAAAATCTGTCTAGTAATCAGCTAATAGATAACTGCAAGACTGTTACGCGCAAGACCAAGACAAGACCAAGAATGAGTTTGCAAGACCAAGATTCGTCTAGGTCTCGCATTTGGGCAACACTACTAAAGATCGAAACAGACATAATTATATCATAACGACTAACGTTGAGACATTTTAAAGAACTACTATTAAAAAAAAGCACTTACTACACAAACGCTCTAAACTTCCAACTATTTACAGAAGATTCGTATATATTACTCTGAGGCCTATTTGGACTTACGGGGTCGAGCTTAGGGGCTCTACTAAACCATCAAATTCCCCTCGTATCCAATCCCTACAATCCAAAATCATTCGTAAAATCCTCAATGCTCCCTACGTTGTCACAAATAAAATCTTCCATAACAACCTTAATGTACCATATATTTCCGATTTAGCTCAGTCCAGATACCTATCCTTCCATAATAAACTTCTGAACCATCCGAACCCTCTTGTTTCCAGCCTTGCTTCCTCTTCTATCCCTGATAACCCTCCAAGCCGTCTGAGAAGAAGATGGCCTCAGGACCTTCTAATATAGAAATATAATTGGAGTGCTACCAATGGGTAGTTTCTCTTCATGTTTACAAATTTTTATATTTACTTGTTGTGTTTATCATTTAGTACAGTTGTAAATTTCAATAATAAAAAAAAAAAAAAAAGAATTATCCCTTCTATGTTATGGTTACAAATTGGCAATAATGCGCGATGTATGTTATAGATTTTTAAAGAAATCAAAAATTTGTCCGAACTTTGGTTTCGTTCATTTTATTTTATATTTATAAAAAGTAATACAATTTGAACTACAGAATTCATGTAAATTGCAATAATACGATTTGAGTAAGTAGTAATGCAATTAAATGAATAGTTGTATAATTATTAAAACAGAGTGAAACCATCCTAGTATTTAATATAATATTATTTTAGGCTTATTGAGAATCCTCCATTACCACATATATTAATTTTTGACTTCGCTTATTCGTTTTTTTATATTTGTTTTTTAAAATATTTGCAATGGTCAAATTATACCAACTAACTTTTTTGTTTTGGTTTTAAATATCTCTTGGACTGGTAAATATGCTGTGTGATTTATCAACTCAACACAGATGAGCAGTCATGCAATATTATTGTATTTCTCTCTCTCTTTAACACCAATATCGGATTTGGAGATGGAGTCGGTGAAAATTTCCTCGAAGTTCCTCCCGGCTAGGTTCGATGGTCTCCCTGAACAGAAATGAATGGGGCATACCAGTCTTACTACAGGGCGTGGTCTATCAAAAAATGAGTTTAATTTATAATATTTTTTTATTGCTAATAAAAATTTAATTTAATAATAAAAAGGATTATTTTTTCTTTTGATAGCATAATACTAGTGTTGCCCAAATGCGAGACCGGGACGA